CACACGCACGCACAGAAACACACATGCAGACACGAACAGAGGCACGAAGTCTTCGTGCCAGAGCCGAGCAGCCGAACGCGGCACTTGCAGCCAATCAAGCCTCACAACAGCCGCAGGGTGGGCGGTACAGCAATGGCGCGAAACGGCAACAGAGCGTCTCTTTGTCTCGCTCTCGCTAGCTCTCGCTCTCACGAGGGGCTCTCAGGCGCAGACGCGAACATTGGCAGCGCGGTGCCGAAATCGTTGGCAGGTCTAATCAGAATCAGTCTTTGAACAGTTTTCGTGCCGTGCACTTTGTGGACGGAGTAAAGTAAATTTTTTCGCTGTCAGCAAAAGAGAGACAGTGATTGAGTGAGTGAGTGAGAGACAGAGCAAGAGCGCTGAAAATCTCAGCGGCTGTTCGTGATAATAAAAACGTGTATGAGAAATCGATAAGAGCAGCAGCAGTAGAAGCAGCAGCAGCTGAAGTGAAAGAAGCGCGCACACATACAGCGCCCATTCTGTGTATGTATATGTGTCGGCAAGTGCTATAAAGTAAGAAGAAGAAGAAGAGTTCATCATTTGGCTTGAATCGATTTATGCTTGTGCGTAAAATTAATTTCAATTCGTTTGCAGCGTTTTAGCCGGTAACTAGTTACCGTAATTCGTGGCCACTTTCCGAACAATTTGCGTCGCAGCTTGGCAGAAAAATTCAACCGTTGGAAAAAACTCGCGCTGTTGTGTGTACATTTCTAATAAGAAAAATTTCACTTTGCATTTGATTGCGCGGCGAGCGCGGCGAAATGTAACGAAAAATAATGTTATACACGCTCTCGCTTCAGTGTGTGTGTGAAAATTTTGTAAACACACGTACACGTGACAAGTGCGTTTGTGTTGTTGTCGTATTGGAATTTTCGTCGCCGCCAGTTCGAAATGAACGAAAAAAAAAAAAAAAAATAAACAACCGAAACTGAAACTGCGGCGAAGGCGAAAACACGCGCGCGCAAATTGTAGAAAGTTTTGTTTTGGGTTTTGGCTGTGCCGCGCTATGCTATGCTCTCCCCACACAGCCCACTAGGGGCGGCCAAAAACGTACACTCTCTCGCCGCGGCGAATAGATACAAATTGGTGTCGTCGTCGTCGCCGTCGTCGCAGCTTCGTGTTTTCTGTTGTTGTCCGAACGCTCGTTTCGCCTCAATTGCGCGGCGAGTACCCGAGTGCGAGTACGAACGCAGAGTAGCCCGCACGTAGCATTTGAATTTCGTGCATTGCTTTTAGTTGTATTTTCAGCGGCTGCTGTTGTGGACAAATACCGCACGTTCATAACGCAAGTAGATTTTGTTTAAAATTTCAATATATATTCGCTGTGTTGCCGCGTCTCTCGTCATCGGCAAAGCTTGTTGCGTGCGCGTCGTGTGTTTATGTGTGTGTGTGTGCATGTGTGTGTGTGTGTAACCACCCTGCGGGTTGGTGTTGTAAAGTGCGCTCGTGCCGGCGCCAGTTGCTGCTGCTGCGACTGCTGCTCCGGCTGTTTTTGTTGTTATTGTTTCGCTTCGTTTCGATAGCGATAACAGCGCGGCGAAGCCTCTGCCCACTGTGCAAGCTGTGGCCATTTCGTCACTGTCAGCGTGTGCGCGCGCGTGTGTGTGTGTGTGTGTGTGTTAGTGTGAGCCTTGCTCGTAAACTAATACGACAGCGACATTGAAGACGTCATCAATGTTGTCAATTGTACGCCCAAGCCACCCACAAGGACCGGCACAGTGGGCCACGCGCGCGTGTCTATGTGTGTGTGTGCGTGGGCGTGGGCAGCGTTGATGAATGGCATTTGAGTGTTTGCTTCGCCCACATTCTCATTATCCTTGGCTACGTTTGCATTTTCTGCTTCTTCGTAAGCTGCAGCTACCGCTGTGTCCAGCTTCCTTATCGCCCCCCTCGCTCCTTCTGCCCACTTTGACTTAGTTTGCCAGCTTTTGTTTTTGCGTGCCTTCCTTTTTGCTCGCTTTTTGTTTTGTTTTTGTGTTTTGCTAGCATCGCATCGCATCGCAGCGCAGCGCAGCGCAGCTTCTCTCGGCTTGTTGTCACTGCTGCCGCCTATTTCGTCTTTCGCCTTTTACAAGCTGCTTTCGTGCCAGTTTCGCGTGAGCGTGTGACGTACAAAGCAGAAACATGTCAAAGGCAACAACAAAATGAAGACGAACAAGAAGAAGAAAAAGTGGGCAGCGCATTGCGAGCCAATGCGACTTTTAGTTGCCCTACAGCTCAGTTTCTAATTGAGAGTAGGGGATGTCCGAGTCCAAAAACTAGAACTATATCAATTTAAATATATACATTTAATATGCATTCAAACACATAAACTCCAAACTGGGTTGTTGAACTCTTTTTAACCGCAAATCACCTTCACTCCAATTAACACTTTTAATTAAAAGAGCTAACATTTGGAATAGTTGAGAAGAACTGATCATTTTTAAAGCAGACAATAAGACAAGCCTCAAAGGAAAGTTTAAGTATAGTCGCATAGTTGTATAGTCAAAATTTAAAGGACTTTTAAACCAGTAGACAAATTCCAGATTGTAAGAGAGTACTCAAATAACATAGGGTACAAAATACACATAAGCTTTGGAAAGAAAGTATAATCAATTGCGGGTTCCTAGCGTCATATAGGTAAGATACATTCAAGATAGTCTTAGGAAATGCAACAAATGGATGTTTCTAGGGCTAATTCGAAGAAATACGACTTAGTTTAAGGATAAGCATGATTAAACATGAAAACCTCTATGTTTATTTGTAAAGTAAACATATGCAATATGTTGATAGTTTAGTCGGTTCAAGGTCTGTTTCCCTTCTAGTTCATATTTATCAAATGCATTTGTGCTCTTACAACATCCATAAAGCAATGCTAGATTCTTCGATTTATATATGTGTTATAGCTTATCTGGAGGTAGGGAACTTTAAGCGGTGTCCTTGGATTATTTTTAATGCATTAGAAGTCTTTAGCTTAAGAGTCTTATTACTGAAGCATTACCTTTTTCAATATTACATTTTAAAGCTATTTTTGTTAATTAATTTTACTGAAATTCAACATTTTTTGGCTTATTGAATTCCTTAAAATGTATGTGTTTGTTTTTCAACATATTTTCCTTTCAGAATTTTCAAGCAATTTCTTTTTCCGTTTTCCAATTCTTATGCCTAGAGAACTTTCAAAAATCGCAAAAAAAAACATAGTTTTCTCTGCAGATCTTTAAATTTAAAGAATTATTAATAAACATTTTTGAAATTTTACTTATTGGGTTCTCAACATTTTTATCATATACAAAATTGAGAGTTTTTGTGCTTTGATTTACAATTTTTGAAATCTAATTTCTATATTATTGACAATCAAAATGTAGAATTATCTCAGACAATACGATTATAAATATGTCCTCGGTTATGTCTAAAAATAAATAATGTTATATGCATAAAATTATAATATATTATGCATACAACATACATAACATTTATCTGTTCTAGTCTCCCAACTAAGTCAATATATATATTTATGTGCTGTAAAAACAACAAGAACTTAATTGCCGACAGGCACAATTAGGACTAGCTGCTAAAAGGCCTTACTTGGCACGGCTTTATTCACACTTTATATAGACGTTAACATTCATGACATTTGCTGCCGTTTTGTATGTTCCATTCAAATCTCATCAACATGATGTGGCACACATTCCCCTTTTCCTTCCTCTTGCTCTGCCTCTTGCTCTTCCTCTTCTACTGCTTTTGCTTCTGCTTCTTCAGGCCAACCTGCTGATCCAACTGGCTGCCCACATCATAATAATTATCATCATCATCATCATCATCATTGTGATTATTATTATCAACGCCGACTGTTTGTGTGAGTGTGTGTGTGTCGGTGTGTGTAGGGCACACAAGAGCGTAATTTTCGTACTTTATTCGTTTGCACGACGAAGAAGAAGACAACGACGACGACGAAGACGAAGGCGAAGACGAGGCAAAAACCTAAAACTAGATTCAAGTACACACGTTGAGTGCGCAGTTCGTGTGTATGTGTGTGTGTGTGTGTGTGTGTGTGTGTGCGCTCGTTGCGAGCTTGTGTGTAGGGTGCCCTGTGTGTGGCACAAAGGGCGTCGCTTGTGCGCCCGTAAGCCCAGCAGCTCCCCCCTCTCTGGCTCACCTCCTCCCACTCCCCTACGAACGCTTCGCATATGAGTTAGTTTTTGTGCTTGTCTTTTTGTCTTTGTGCATATGTATATATTCATATATATATATATATATATATATATATATATATATATGGATATATATTTTTGTTTTCGGCATTGTTCCGATTCATGGATGGCTGATTTACTAGTTGAAAGTGACTTTGCCATATCTTTGTGGCAGACACACACACAGATGCAGATGCAGATGCAGATACAGATACAGATACAAAGATACAGATACATTTACATTTGCTTTCTTGTGTGTGTGCTTGGCTTTTGTTTGACGAGACCTAGAGACCAGGCCGACCGACCGAACCGACCGACCCGACTGACAGACCCGACCACAATCATGTTGATGGGTGATGATGGTTGTCGGTTGTCGGTTGCTGCTTGCTGGGATTTTGCTTTATGTTGTTTCTCACAGTTGGAGTTTTTCACTACTTTTTTTCACCTTTGTTTATGCCTAGCTGTGTGCGTGTGTGTGTGTGTGTAAAGCTTTGCCCTCTTACAGCTCTCTAGTTTTTGCGCAGTCGCAACAGCTTTGTCATCAGCCTTGGCTAAGATCTAGCTGTCCCATTAAGAGCTGCTCATTATTAGATGGCCATACATCAAAACCTTAGATATATATGAACAATGTATTATTCACAATATATGAACAATCTAATACCAATAACTGGAAAATTGCGAGGGCTTGTTGGGAGCGCTACTCTAACTCAACTCCTTTCTGTTCCTTGCAGGACATGCTAGCATCTTAAAAAAACCAACTACACAGAGGCTAATCACACATAAAGATAACAAATACAAATTTGAATAAAAATGCATCTGAAGACGGAAAGCCAGCTAGACAAGCTGCATTCCGAGCGCCACGGCTCCGTTCGCGAGCTGAACCAGTTCAATGAGCTGTTGACCTGTCGCATTTGTCAGGGCTATATGATAGACCCCACCACAGTTGACGCCTGCTATCACACGTGTAAGTGGGCTCCAGTCTCTGCCTAAGACCCACACGAGTTGCAACTCAATTAAAAAAACGTTTGCTGCTTTTGTTTTCTGTTTTGCACTTTTCAGATTGTCGCAGTTGCATTCTGAAGCATTTGCTGCGCGATGTTTACTGCCCACAGTGCAAGTCCAGCGGGGGCAAGCACATCAGCGAGGATAACCTCAGGTAGGTGCCACTTTGCCTGCCCAACAACCACTTCCACCAAGCTTAGCTAAAAAAAAAAACAAAAAATCGACCCATGCACAGATCCGATGACACGTTGCGTGCGCTGATTTATAAACTGGTGCCGGGTCTCTATCAGCGCGAATGCAAGCGTCTGGCTGAGTTCAGGGAACAGCACCAGGAACTGGATGCCGACGAGGAGCTGCTGAGACCCCAACTGGAACAGCAACAGGAGTTCTTTACGCCAGGCGAGCCTATTAGGTAGGTCATCTATGGCAGACGCGCTTCCATTTATTCCTTGAGTTTGGCTAATTTTCATTGTTTTCCTTTGCAAGTTTTTTCCGAGCTTAACATTTCGTTGTTTTTCTCTGTTCCTTTGGAAAATTTCTTTTGGTTTTTGTTAAGTATATTTTATATCAAAAGGAAAGTTGTTCTGCAAGATATCATTCAGTTCAATTCCCAGTTATCCTTATCTAAAGCCTACCTCTAGGAGATACCTTGTTAAAGATACAATTCATTCGCTTTACGAACTATTCATATTATTTCGCGAAAAGTATTTTCTACTCTCAATATTCTGGCAACTTTTCTCTACCAAATTGTTCCTGCATTGCATCTCACTTACACTTGTTTTTCCCATTTTCTTCTTTCGGTTTTTCCACAGTTTATCCCTAGAATATCATCCCGCTATGCTGAAAAACTGCGGCTCATCCGAAAAGCCGCCCATCTGCTATCTGCAGTGCCCCGCCGACTTGAGGGTTGTGCATCTGAAGCGTTTCCTCTGCTCCAAGTACGACATCGATGCGGAGAACAAACACGTCGAGGTCGAGGTCACGTACGAGGATGAGGTACTGCCGCCCAGCTTTACGCTCATGGATGTCGGCTATTGTTACCAGTGGAAGCGGGTGAGTTCTCAACTTTGTTTGCACATGTTTTGTATTTCTATTTCTATTTTTTTTTTTTTTTTGGCTAAGAGCTGGGGTAGGATTTACTGTGCCTGTGTCTGGCACTTAAAATTAGCCGCTGGCAAATCGGATTGTGCCGCCAGTTTAGTGTCCACTCCATAATTTATATGCACACACAATGCCCGGCCCTAGTTTTGACAAGAAATGTGCAACGCATTAGGCCAGACAATTCAGAGATCATAAAGTAAACACAGTTTATTTGAGGTAGTTTAATCTTGGGGGTGTCCATGAGAGTCCTTTTGGCGTCTTTGCGCCTATGTGAACTAAGATATCCCCATGAAACTTGGTTTAGTTTCGTCTTTTAACTGCAGACAGCAAATTCGACGATATCGAGCGAATCGGAGAACTATAGCCTAAAGCTGGCATAGGCATAATCGTTCAAATATGAGATTGTATTAGGAAAAACTTATTTTTTGAAGTCAGCTTTAGCAAAACAGGAAAAACCAGAAACCCAAATCAATTGTGCGTTTTCCTATGCCATTCAAGGCTAGACAAAATCTTTTTTACATCAGCCTACTTTAACATATAGCTTCCAAAGGTAATATCCGTCCAGAATTGAGTTTTTCTGTGTAAAACTAGTTTGTTTCTTCACGAAACTTAAACTTTCTTAAAAACTTTATAATGTGCCCGATATATAAGTTAATTTTAATCAATCGGATCACTCTATAATGTTGCTTTCATAGAAAGAATCGAATGATAATTGAGTTGTTTAACAAAAACCAATTTACAAATTAATTGAATTTTCTTAAGCATTCTAACTGTTTGCCTAAAAGGTTTCTATAAAGATAAATCATATGAACTATTTAATAGAAACAAGAAGAAAAACCTTTTGTCTTACAAAATATCTATCTATAAAGATATACCATAGGGAACTATATATCCCTTAGAAATAATCGCTTGAAATTTGGAAAATATAAGAAGAAAACTCTTTTGTCTCTCAAAATATCTCGAGAAAACTAAAGTCTTCTCTTGTTTACCATACTTTAGATATATTTGAAATGAAATCTGACAAGCATATTATCTACCTGCCATGGGAACAATCCAGTTGTAGGGAACAATCCAGTAGGGGCATAGTTGGCCAATAATAAAAGACCTCCAGCGTGTCGGCGATGCTATTAGAAAATTGGGTATTCTAATTAGGCTTTTAGCATTTTTTTTTTCACAATTTGATGTATTAAGTAATCAAGAAGACGCTCGGCCATTAGTAAATACTACATGGCCTGCTCATTCTGTAGAGCAGGGTATCTATTCTCTCAGAGACGATAACTATTTGCTTATTTCTATTTTGTTGCACGCCCTTTTTTTCAATTGTACAGCACGCGCCCATGGCATTTCGGTATAGGATACTGCTGCACGAACGCGAGACAACAAAAAACGATGAGAACAATTTGTCAAAGGTTAAACAGGATATTGAGTTAAGTTCCGCGACGGCGGCGGCGACGGCAAAGAGCGGCAAGTCGGTGACCTTTGCCGTGGACGTGGATGTGGCTGTGGATACACAGCGTCTGCCGTTGCATGCCACAAGCAAGGCGCGCAACAAGTCCGCACAGAAGCTGGCCAAAAGCAAGCGCCTGGCCAAACGGGAGTCGGACGATGCCGCCACAGCGCCAAGCAACTTCAAGAGCCTGCGCAGCAACGATATGCGCTACAGCGACTATGGTGTGGCTGCCACAAGTTGCACGCAGCCGTCGGCGCCGCTGCTGCGCGTCAAGAGCGAACCGGAGCCGGAACCGGAACCGGACAACCTGGCCGCTGTGCCCAATCTGAACATTGTGGTCAGCATACCGCAATCGCAGCTAAGCAAATCGGCCGGCTACGGCGACGAGGGCGGCTTCGAGCTGAAGACGGCCAACAAGAAGTCGTCGCCGCCGCAGATGGCGCTGGTGCGCAATCTGCCCAAGCTCAAGATCGAGCTGAACAGCATGAAGGCCAAGCTGACAATGACCAAGTCGGCGGAGCCACGGCTCGAGGACACGGCCACAGCGCAGCAGCAGCAGATCGATCTGGAGACATATGCCAAGAATATTGGCCTCAAGCCCATCGAGCCGGCAGCAGCTGCAGCCGCTGCATCCGTACCTCCGCAGGATGTGCTCAAATACAGTCCGAATGCGTCGCCCATGTCCTCCTCCTCCTCGTCGACGAACGGCTCCAGTGGCACCGTCGATGCCAGCACCTGCACGAATGCCAGCAGCAACTGTTCCACGTCCTCGCATCGCAAGCGCAAGAAGAAGCACTCAAAGGAGCCAAAGGACGCGAATGGTAAACGCAAGAAACTGCATGCGGAGATCTCATCGCAAACGGATGGCAAAATGAAAATGAAAATAACAACGACGCACAACCACAAGGCGCACAAGCTCGACCTGAAGCGTTCCCATTCCCTCGCTGGCGGCGAGCTGGTCTCGCTGAATCAGCTCAAGCTCGAGGAGCAGGCCCCGTCGTTGGCCACCAGCAAGGAGGATGCACTGAATCGCACGCTGGGCGAGGAATCGCGCAGCATCAACAGCCTGATGCCGGCCAGCTGCAGCAGCTCCTCCGCCACCAACGTCTCCTCGTCCGCCTCTGCCTCATCCGCCGCCTCCTCTTCTGCCTCCTTTGCAGCTGAGAAGCTGCCACGCAGCGGTAAGGAGCTTAATTTGCCCGCCTCGCCGCCGTTGCCGCCCAGCCTCTTCAAGGGTTGTACGCCTGCCACGCCCCCGGCTACTCCCACGTCCACTCCAGCACCGGCTGCGCCCGCCAAGCCCAAGCTGGCCGCGCCGCCGAAGCCCGCCAAGCCGCAGCTTGTCAGCAATCACAACAATCGCAAGGCGCCCATGCTGCTGACGTGTACCACGCCCACTGCGAATGCAGCACCACATTTCGCCGTGCCACAGACGCCGCAGCGACAGGCACCGCCGCTGCCGCCGCATCACATGCAGCGCTACCAATCGACGCCCAGCTCGATAGCCAGCGCGGCCAACAAACCGCCCAAGCGCTCGCTCTCGCTGGACGAGACGCAGGCCCAGCTGCTGGCCAAGCATCCGCGCCTGGACTGCCAGCAGCAGCAGCTGCAGCTGGGCAAATATGCCGCCAGGCTGAAGCCGAGCCCAGCCTGTGCGCCGCCCATGCGTGTTTATGGACCCGAACTGGCCAAGACGAGCCCAATGCCGCTGCGCTGTCCGGCCAGCCTGAGCCTCAGCCTGCCGCAGCCAACGGTGACCTTAACACCACTAGCGCGCAACAGCCAGGTGGGCCAACAGGTGGGCCAGGCGCTGCACGGCCTCAGCCATCCGTATGCGGAGATTGCGCGCCTGAGCCTGGGCCTGGGCGGAGCAGCTGCATCGCTGATGGGTCCGCCGGCCAGTCCGGCCAAGCAGCCGGCCAAGCGTGCCGCCGCCCATGCGGTACAGTCGCCGCCGCTGTCACTGCCGGCCATGGTCAAGTCGCCGCCGCTCTCGGTGGCGCTTAGCGGGCAGCGCGGCGGCAACAGCAGCAACATGCACAATGCGGTTTATCGCACATCGCCGCCTGCTTTAATAAATCTGAGCAGCCCGCAACACGCTTTCGCAGCCAAGGCAAATGCTGGCGCGGCCAAAGCCGCTGACAATGCCAAGAAAACGGCAACTGTTGCTGGCGCAGCGGGAACGACAGCAGCAACTGTTGCTGCCAGCAGCAATCAAAGCAAAGCCAATGGCAACGCCGCGCTGGACAAGTCCAAAACAAGTTTGCGCGATTTTCGGCCACCAGCAACAACAACAACAGCAGCAACAGCAACTGGCACGACAGCAGCAGCAGCAGCAACAACAGCCAAGGATGCTGACATACTTGATTTATCAGCGGGCACAGGACGCAGCAGCAACAGCAACAGCAAGCAGGCAACAACTGGCAGCAGCAGCAACAACAAGCACAACAAGTTGGCGCCCACAACGTCTGCCCTGAGCTGCAACAACAGCAGCAGCAGCAGCAACAGCCTGGAGGCTGCTGTAAATAAAATCAAGCAAAACTTTGGCGCCAACAGCAACAGCAACAACAACAACAACAGCAACAACAACAACAACAACAATAATGCTGCAGCAGCAGCAACAGCTGCCAGCGGCGATGATCTACAAAATCTGCATTTGCTCTCGGAGTCGGCAACGGCGCGCGAAAAGATCTCGATTAAGAGTGGCAACATCTACGAGAATAAGCCAAAGAATGCGCTGGTCAGGCCGCAGAATGCGTCTGTGCGCAGCATACCGAATCCCTCGGCGTTGGCCTTTCGCAATCAGGCGACGCCAACAACAACAACAGCAGCAGCAGCAGCAACAACAACAACAACAACAACAACAACAACAATTGCTGCTGCCACAACAACAGCAATTGCTGCTGCTGCTGCTGCCGCCAAGCCGTTAACAGTCAAAGCCGAAGAGCAGCCCAAGTTGGCAGCAGCCGCAACGCTGCTCAGTCCCAACAGCAGCAGCAGCAACAACAACAACAACAACAGCAGCAGCAACAACAACAACACGAGCTGCACTGCGTCTGCTGCTGCTGCTGCCACCTCGCCGCGTGCGCTGAAAAAGCCGACAACAATCGACCAAGTGGCTGCCAATTTGAACATACGCGCCGAGGCCAAAGCTGCCGCCCTCGCCGAGGAGGCGCCACTTGTGCTCGGCGGCAGCAGCAGCAGCAATGGGGCAGCAACGGCAGCCAAAACGCCGGAACTGGAAAAGGCCGCCAGCAGCGCGGCCAACGTGGCCAAAACGGATGCCAAATCGCCAGCAACAGCAACTGCAACGGCGACAGCAGCAACTGCAACTGCAACGGCGACAGCAGCAACTGCAACTGCAACGGCAACAGCAGCAGTTGCTGCCACGCCCACCACACTCGCCCTGCCCACGCTGGCGATGCCAAGCGCTGCGAGTGCTGCCAGCAGCGATTCAATGTCAAAGCCGCCCGTTCAAATTGCCGCCACCGACACTTTGGCATCGGTGGCAAGTTCCGCTTAGTCACAAGGTGAGTGCCCCAAAATGTTCATATAAATCAAATATCATATTTAAAAACACATAAACATGCACATAAATGAAAGACTGAGCGACAATTGCAGAGAAAATAAGCCATATACTCATTTATACTCATAGAAAACAAAGTTGATACGCATAAATACGCATTTGTGCAGCGAATATACTTATTGATGTACAGTAAAATTTACAAAAAATACTCGAATAGAAGCATGTCTGCATGGAATATGATTTTATTTACTCTTCACATTTGTATTGAGTACTCAAATGGGAAACGTACTCTTGCATGCATTTACTCTCAATTACTCATTTTCTCTGTTAAATATATTCAATGCAATCATTAATACTTTCTTAATTAAACAGCAGACTCAGTTTTATTGCATATAAGACACATACTCTTGCATATATCCATAATATACTCGCACATACTCATTTCTCTATAGGATATACTCAAAATATATTCAACATACTCTGAATATTTTCAATATACTCATTGATATTATTCATCAATACCTAATTATTGCACATATCCACAACATACTCGCACATACTCCTTTTTATTAAGCACTATACTCATTATTACTCACTTGAATATGGTAACTACTCAGTTTTACTCCCACATGCACGAAATATACTCGCCTTAAACACATTATAAACTGGGCATGGCTGTCAACTTTATAGACCTTGGCCCATTTATGCTGGCCATTATAAGATTTGATGTTTTCATTGGAAATTCAAAATTGGATTTTAATTTTTGTTATTGGCATTAAAAGTTCTTAAAAGCTTTTGGTTTCAAATTATATTTTGGATTTTAGAAGCTATATATAGATTTTAATGGTAGAAATTACAGAATTGGGTAGTTTAACGACTCGAAATAAAACGCATTTCTTACGGAATGTTGTCGGTTCCATTAAAATTCCTTGAGTGATTGACATATGAACCTTGAAAAGCTTGCATATTTTATTTGGTTTCTGAAGAATACGGAATACTTTTGAAAAGTTTAGAAAGTTGAGAGACATACAATATATGTAGCTAAAGTATTTCGGGCGATTTTTAGTATACTCATGTAGAGGGTATTATAATTTTGTGTAACGTATAGAAGGAGACAACTCCGCCCCCATAAAGGATATGTATAAGAATGAGACCTCTATATCATATAGCTGCCATAGGAACGATCCGTCGAAAAGTTGTTTCTCATATGAAACTTTCTTTTTTGTATTAAGCTAACTTGACCATACTCGGGATTTATTAGTTCCATTATAATGTTCATATATAAGCAAAATCTTAACATAGAAAAGATCGATGGAATAGTAGGATTTTGTATGGGAAGATATTTTCAACAAACTCGGCATTTTCAAGCTGCACTATTCTGTATAAGGGTAATGTCTACAGGGGTATTAAATCTTCGGCATGCCGAAGATATTCTTACTTTCTCGTTAAACTTTCAATCAGTTTATAATACACAATTGTCGCATAATCAACAAATATTTGGGTGTCTAGACAATTGGGTTATCTATTTGTATATATTCGCTTATCTATTACTAATATCATTGCACATATTATTGCTCCTTATTGTCTTAATCATTATTATTATTATTATCATTAACATTATCAATATCATTATCATTATCATCATCATTATCATTTTCATCACCATTATCATTTTCATCATGATTATTATTTGCATTATTATTGTCATCATCATTGTCATCATCATTATCATTGTCATCATCAATATCATTATCATCATCATCATTTTCATTATTATGCAAGGTATTTGCTTATTTGTTTGTTAATTCTTGGACCTAGCTTTGAATGCCTTCGCTTTAGTGGGTTTCGTTTTCTCTTCTTCTTTTCTATTGTTTTCATGTTGCCTGACCTCTCCGCATGTCTCTCTGTATGTATTTTCTTTTTGGCGCGTTTCCCACACTCACCCAAAAAAACTGAAATAAAAAAAAAAAAACAAAATACGAGTCTCAAATTATACAAATTACATTTCGTGTTTGCGCGTTTTCTGCTTGTTGCTCGTTTTTTATTTTTCTTCTTATGTTTTTTCTGCTTTTTTTTCTTCTTCTTGCCTTCTCTGTGCTCTTTCGTTTTTCTCAAGTAGTCATTATACACAAATTTAGCGGGCAACGCTCGTCAACGTGTGTCTTCCACGTTAGCCTCACCTCTGCCCCCCCGCCCCTCGACTAACTATCAAACTATCTTTCTCTCTCTCTCTCGCTCTCTTTGGTTCGTTTGTCGGGCATTCGTTGGTTCGCCGGGTCGGTCATTCCTACGAGCGCTGCTTTATTTTTGCCGTTATAACAACAACAACAACAACAACTCTTTTTTATTTGTAGTGGCTTTTTATGCAGTGCTTTTTCTTTTTTTGTTTTTTGCTTTTGCTTTTGGCCTGCTTTTTAATGAACAGTCGCAGCATGCAACGCCGTCTCTCATTCTGTCATACGCTCAGTCTCTCTCTCTCTCTCTCTCGCTCATTTGGACATTACATCATTTTCGTATTTTCATCCATGAATAACAATTTTCCTGTACTCAACAAACAAATGCAGCGTTTCTTTGGATGTGCGGCACGCAAATGTATCTCGTGGCGCCACTCGAGAGTCTACAAACCAGCAGCAGCAACGGCAGCGGCAGCGGCAACAATCAGAATCCAAATGCAAACTGATTCCAGTTCCAGTTGGACTAACGCAGCCAGTTGCAGTTCGGCTGCAATCACAATTGTTGAGAATCACGGAGAAAGGCAGCTCGGGGGCTGGCACACACGCCCCTTGCTGCAGCGAGTAAGCCTTACAATTTAAGCATAAGTACACTCATTGGCAATACACACCCAACAAATACACATACGCACACAAAACTCGCACCAATCCAATACCAAAAAAAGAAAAAAAACAAAAAGATACAAGCTATAAGATTCAAGATACTTAAACACACACATCTGTAGATACAAATGCGACACAAATTCGCGCACATATGCAAATATTTGCGATTGGAATTAGTACGCGTCGAAATAAATTATAAGCGTAATGGAAACATATATAACGTATACTATATATAAACGTATTTGTTGCTAACTACAACAACAACAACAACAACAAAAGCAGCAACAGCACAAAAAAAGCTGACACAAAAATGCGAAATATAAATAAATAACCACAACGCGAGCTGCTGTTGTTGTTGTTGTTGCTGCTGTTGTTGTTGGCAAAGCAAAAATGCAAACGAAAATTAATTATAAAATATCAGCAAAAAAACAAAAACAAGAGAAACAGAAACGCAGATACTCTAATCGCAGACAATATTGCTATACATACGCTAACGTGTCGGGCACACGTCGCCAACCCAACTCGTTGAAGATGATGAGGAATATTTGGCAGATAAAACAACTCGTTGTTGCGCCAGCGAGTGCGTCTGAGGAAGAGGAGAGGCGAGCAAAGCCGAGTTGAACTCGGCAGCAAACTCGCTGCTGATAAAGCGAGTACTTTTAATAAAGTGCGTCAATTAAATGCGGCGAATTCGCAAGCAAAGTGAGTTGTTCACCTGTACTCGTTGTTGCGCCAGCGAGTCAGCTTGAAGCGAAAACCCTAGTGCAGCTGGGAAAGGAATGCAAAGAAAAAATGAGTTTAATAAACTCGTGGAACTCGTGTCAACTCGTTGTTGCAATAGCGAGTGCCACTCGTTGAGCTCTTGACAACTCGTTGTTGCAGTAGCGAGTGCGGAATAAAGCGACTGCGACTCGTTGTGCTCTGAAACAGACTCGTTCATGTGCTAACGAGTGCTATAAAAGAACGGGTAGTAGAAACCAGTCAGACCAAGCAGCTGACATTTGAAATAGTATTTGTTCCTATAGTAGCTAGTGCATCGAACTCGTAAGCTCTCGAAAATAGCACTCGTTCCAATACATATATATATTATACTGACAGTCAAAAGTTAAAGGAACTGGGCTATATATACCCCATAGACTCCATAGACAGCGTCTTAAAGGTATACGCCAGTTCATAAACGGAATAATTGTAAGCTGATAACATGAGAAGGGGAATAAAAGGCGTATTTGTATTATTGCGCGTAGCTAGAATCAAAAACAAATCGCATAAATTATTGAATATGATGAGAAACGTGCAGCAAGTTTATCGGAAGTTCTTTTTTTTTGTTTAAATCTAATTTTTTGTTTTTTTTTTTTTATGACTGCGGCCAAGTGTGAAACGCGCACTTGGCGCAGGTTGTTGACGAGCGCTGCGGATTTTGGGTTTTTTCATTTTTCGGTGGTGGTGTGTGAACAGTAGCCCACACACACACACACACACGCACACACACACACACGCACACACACACACACGCACACACACACACACACGCACGTTCGCTGAGGCGATAAAATTTTAACGATTTTGCGCCGCTTGAGCTGAGCGTGTCAAGCATAAAGATACAAAATACAACAGATACATATACAAATAACTATATATATATATATATATACACCTATATATAAATATATTCAAATAACGTGTAGATACTTTATCGCATTAGTGTTACGTTTAATTGCAGCACGAACTTTGTACATAAATTTAAATATCGAAGCGACAAAAAACTGGACAAAAATCGAAAGAAAACAAAAGCAAAAACCTTTTTTTTTTTTAAAGAAAAAGCTTCGACCAAAAAACAACATAAAAAACTGTATTTAAAAAAAGAGTAACAAAAAAATACGCGCTTTGTTGTTTAGTAAATTTATCGATAATTGTCTATCGTTTAACACGCGCTTATCGATAAATTTAAAAAAACAACCTGGCCTTAGTTTAGCTACTTTAAGGATATCGTGTATCGTATATCGTCGTCTATATCGATAAATATCGTCATGCAAAGCTTTACGTGCTCGTTTATATCTCTCTCTCTCTCTATATATATTTGTGTCGTGAGATTTGCTTTGTGTTTTATCTGTTATTTATATATGTACATAATTTATAAAGTTTAAAGGCCGCAACGACAGCCGAATTGTATAATATATATATATGTATATGGCGCAGTTTCCGCTGCTCACGACATCGTTATCGATATCGGTAACGTTATCGTTATCGATATCGTCAAGTGGATCCCTCAGCCCTGTCTAGTTATAAATATTAATATATTAAAAGAAAAACAACCCCTTGGCTGATCAGAATCTAGCAACCACCTTTTTGGTAAAAATTTGTTCAAATTTACATAAATCAAAAACCCCTCCCCCTTGCCCATTCAACCCTCAAATCCACGCGATATCGATATGTTTGCGTAACCCTGGAAACTGCGCACGAAAAGCACTTAACAATTGCAGCTCGAAATTGTTGTAAATTCCTAAAAGAGAAATGAATTGAGAACAATTGTAGAATTGTATATTTTTATTTAATTTGTAACAACAACTAACAATTAATTAATAATTAACTCGGGCTATTGGCATCGTGCAAAAACTATAATTATAATTATATTATTTATAAGCTCTGATATTAATGTTTGTTCCCAATCAAATGTTTCAACTTTGATGCTGAAAATTAACTAAATATACAACAACAACAAAAAGAAGAAAAAGAAGAAAATTATTATATAAACTTAATAAACAATTATATATATTTAGAAATCTGAGTGTGTGCACATAAAACATAAATTATAATTATTAGAAACATATTATATTATTGTTAGAACCATTTTTGCGACGCAATTTCACATGTAATCCACACGAAATTCTAAGTTAAACAATAAATTAGCTGATTTTCAAATAAAATGAATGAAAATACAAAAACAACAACAATTCACTCACAAATAGACAAATGCGTGTTGTTACTTTTATGACCCTGATAAATCAGTGCGAAGGCGAAGCTGGAGACGGAGAGGAAGGCGGAGCGGGAGAGGGAGGCGGAGGCGGAGAGGGGGAGGGAGAGGCATTCACAGGCGACAACGGCGTCGACAGAAGGTGTCGTTATGCGGCCAGGAAGACATATACGAAGATACTCATACGATATACGAGTATCGGGTTACAGTCGCCGTTACAGTTATGGGCCTTACTGTGCCTAGAGATGAGCGCGTGTCGTGCTTCGTTTTTCAAGCACAGTTCAGTAGGTTTTTGCATAGAGCAAATTTACTCGAGTTGTTTATTATTAAAGTTTTTTATATTAATATTCTTTTTTTTATATCATTTCTATACTTATATATTTACTTAAACTCCAGTTATGGACGTTACTGTGCGTCTAGAGCTGAGCGCGTGTCGTGCTTTTTCGTGCAGAATTCAACAGGTTTTATCTTCACTCGAGCTGTTGGGCTTTCGAAGGGTTTTATATTATATTGCTTTTATATTATTTTTATACCTTATTACTTATTTTAACTCCTGTTATGAGCTTTATAGCGCTTAGATCTGAGCTCATGTCGTGTTTTTTCAAACACAATTCATCAGATGTTGCATAGAAAAACTTCACTGTTGAGCTGTTGGCTTTCAAAGTCATTTATATTATATACATTCATTGAGTGAAAGTTCATTAGCAAAATGTCAACTCTTTGAGTTTTGCTACTTCAATATATTTGCGTGTCGATTCGTGTCACGCGTGCTTCTCTAATGTAAATTGCCAAATGGCATTGCGGCGAACGAGCTGCACAACTGGCCAGAGGGGGGGCAGCATGAGACACTGAGCTGGCAGTGGGCCGTTGTCAGTTTTTCATTTGAAATTCCAACCCCCGCTGTGGAAAATTGCACGCCCAGCACCCAGCAGTGTCAAGGCAAAGGCAAAGGCAAAGTCCTGGGCCCTGCGACCGCTTTACTTGTTGGCATTGCAGATTTCAACGCTTTTCATGGCTAAGGCAAGGCATGGGCCGGGCCGGGAAGTAAGTGTAGGGGGGGCAGGACACTTGCCGGAAACATATGGCGGCACGCTAAAACCAAAGTCGTCGTTGTCGTCACACACACACACACGCACACAGAGTCGGGCACATGCATAATGCCAAAGCCACAGCCGCAAATACGTAACAACTGGCACGTGCCCGAGCTCGTGCCATAACCTTCAAGGCAATGACAAAGTCGGGCGGGGCAGAGCCGCGCCAAAGAGGGTGAGCGAGCGAGCGGGCAACATGACGAGGACGAAGGCGAGAGCGAGGCCGAGGCCGAAGCTTTGGCTTGTGGGTGCCCTGCCTGTGTGCGCGCGCGTGTGTGTGTGTGTGTGTACAGCTACTTGTTGTGCTTTATTTGTTTGTCGTACTTTTATTAAAAACGAACGCTACCTAATCAGCAGCAAAATGTCGCACTTTACTGCACACACACACACACAGACACACAGAGAGAGATATAAAATTGAGTGTTGGAGAGTTTGGAGAGTGGGCGAGCGCGACGTTTGGCTCTCGCCCGACGCCGCGCACCCGCTGCCGTTCATTGCGAAAACGAACTTATCAGCTTTTTGTTTTTGCCGCTGCCTTTGCCCGGGGCGCTTTGCTAAAGTCGTCGCCAGCGGCTGTCGCTTCATCCGGCCTTCGCAGTTCGCCTGCAGTTAGCAGTGCCCCTTCCCCCACCGCGAGACCCCCGCCAGACAGCTTTGCTGCTGCTGATAAATAGCGTTTAGCTGTTGTTGTTGTTGTTGTTGTTGTTGTTGTTTTTGCTGTCGTTGTCGGCATTGGAACGTGCCCAGCTTTGCGATTTGCGATTGGTAAATTGGGTAATTGAAAACACTTAACCGTTATGATTTATTATCTATATTATACGCCAGACATATATGTAAGTGTCATACGCCCGCCCCCCTCCCACCGCCGCCACTGCCTGTTTGCATTTGCCGTAAATTGTGTAATCATTTTTGGCTCGTGCTGCAAAAGCAAAGTTTTCTATTTGATTGTTAGCTTCGTTTAACTGCGGCTGTTATTAAAAACGTATCAATCATAGATACATCAGCTTTAAAATTCCGTTTGATGGATGCTTTGGCTGGCATTTATGCCCGGATGTGGAGCACGACATTACATAAGGCTTGAAGTGCACTGTGGGAAATATTGCATTCAAGAAACACAATTACAACTTTTTAATGCTGTCGTACGATTGAAAAGGTGCTTTCACTGGGT